TCTTCAAGTTTATGTACTTCATATCTATATCCTCTCTAAAATCATCATACAGGGCTACAAGTAGTAAGTTTTATCAAATTTTTAAGAAACACAACCCACATCTCAAGTAACAGTAACAAAATAAAAATGAAATACTGCTCTGAACCAGAAGGTATCTGTTTTTTGACAACTAATTAAAAGGAATAGGTTCAAATCAAACTTTAAAATATATTATTAACCAACAATTGAACCACTGGAAAGATATATGCCAACAGTAAGGATACTGTATTGGCATTAACCACAGGAATGGCTTTAAACATCTTATTCACACTGAGATCTAAATGTATGCAATTAAAGCCACCACATCAACTGTCCCTATTAATCACTCACCAATTTAATTAGTTAACCACCTTGTCAGAAAGCTTGCTTCTTCCTTATTTCTTAACATTATCGACTTTTAATAGTTCACCGAATTAGTAATTACTTGTTTATGGCATTATCCAATGTCTAAGTCCAGCATGTGGCAAGGTCAGTTATAGCCATGCCCTGATGGCATGTGAAAGGAGAAATTTTACCCATCAAAGTGGTCATCTAAAGAGCAAAACCTATTATCCCTTTCTCTAGACACTCCTGGTTAAATTCAAAGTGACAGGACAAACCAGATCAAAACTAAACAGAGCTAGATGCAAAATACAAAATCCTAATGAACCCTTAGAAATCCAGGTATCGATTTGTCAATATCTAAGCTCAATTAGTCCTTTCAGAACAAAATACCTCATGAACTGACAAGAAACTAGTCCGAGGTCTGGGATATGAAAAGAATAAAAGCAGTCACTTTCTATTGCTCATTGCTAAGTGCAGTCGTATCTCAACCTGGAGATCTTGTAGGGATTAAATAAAGATGTATGTCAAGCACTGAGCTACTAAGCCAAGGAGTGGCACATGACTAGTGTTCAGTAAATGTTAGTCCTTCCTCAAATCTTTAAGAATGCAGGCTTTTCAAGTCAAAGATCAACTGATGGTTTAAAAAATCAAGTCAAAACAAAAGAAAAACCTTACACAGTCATACAGATAACACAGCTCATAGAACTCAGCAAACAGGATAATGAAAATGAAAAACAGATACTGAAAACGTTTCTCAATGGCTCATCCTTTGTGGTCACTTACAACCTTCCTGTTTTGTGAAATTGTCTTTAGGGATGAGCTTTGACAAGAAATAGGCCAAATGCAAACTAATTCCACTTGAGAGGGAAACTCAGAAATGCCTACAGCAGGTGAACAGTTTCTCTCATAAAATCTTCCTACTGGGTATACTTCAGGCTTTCAGCAATTCCAGTTTCCAAACAAACCAGTAGCACAACTATAAAGTTAATTTTTTTCATTAGAATTGTTAAGTAACAGGAGTTCAATAAATCATCTGCCTTCCAAGAAAAAAAAAATGACTAACACAACTAATATTTCTCCCGGTTCTAAGAAAATGAAGCTTATTTACAAACTGAAAGATGTAATACCATAGTGAAGTCTTTTGATGGCTCAAGAATGAAATATTGAAGAAATAAAGGTACAGAAAGAACAGGACTTGGTCTAAAAAGTCTTGAGATCAAGTACTCGTGTTGCCATCTAGTATATGGCTTCCAGGAAGTTACTTAACTTCTCAGGGATGCAGTTTCTTGTAAAGTTCTTTTCAGCTCAAAAAATTATGATTACTTATGATATCTGATACCTCTCTCTGTCTATGTATATATATACACACATGTACATACCTATACATATGTACCTTTATTAAATAATACAGACATACTTTCAAAGTTATAGTGATTTAAGGCCCATTATGAAACAAAGCGGGGGGGGAGGGAGAATGTGTGTGTATGTTGGGTATTGTGACCCTGAATATCATTCTCAGTAGTTAGGGCATTTACACAGCCTGAATTAACCAAGTAAGCCTTTAAACCCTTACAATGAAACATTAAAATTCAATGTGGCTATAATCTCTTCCTTACAAAACATGGACCCAAAGAGTCTGGCTTCAAGTATGGTTTAAAAAAAAAAATGGAGAAGTGTATTATATTCACCACCCAGCTCTTCCATATGACCACATTAAAAAAAACACAAATGAAAACTCACAGGCCCATTGTAATACATTGTACCACTTCTGAATGCAACACTTAGCTCAGGCTTACTACCCTGACAAATAAAGGAAAGCACTTTATGAAGCCAATTTAATTGGGAGGTGACAGAAAACATACAGCCATTTTCTTTAGCCTTATCATTGAATTGGCTTCAGCTCCAATCTCGGGCAAATCCCACTCAACAGAAGAAATTAACCAGGTCAGCAGAACAGGTGCTGCACTGTGTCTGTCAAGGGCCTGGCATCACCACAATTACTTGCACACAATGAAGCAGTAATCTTTACAGATCATCTCTCCCAAGAAGTATATTGGGGAGGGAGAGGAAAACTGAAGGGAGACGGCTGGGTGGGGGGTGGGGGGGTGGTGCGGGGAGGGAGGGAGTGGGGAGAAGAGGAGGAATAGGAAGCAAAGAGAAAAGGCAAGAAAAGAAAATGAATGTGCAGCTGCCTCAAGGCTCAGCAGATGTCGGGATGTGATGTACGAGGCTAGGATAAGCTGTCGTAGCCCGCTGCCAAAGAGTGGTAAGTGATTAAAGCCTGCACAGTTCTAAGCACCATATTTAGAATCTGCGGGGTTTCAAGACTTGCACCCATTCCTTGCTGTGCTGCCAGATGTTGGCAACTGGTCCAGTTCCTACTGACTGTGCATGGATGGTGGCAGTTGGTACAGCAGCAAAGCAATCTGGAATGCTTCCGGAGCGGCTGTACATTAACAAGTGTCACCCATCATTCACCTTTACAGAAGGCTGAAACAACTCCAATTTGCTGCCACTTCCCTCTTGGGAAACAGCCAAGATAAAGTTGCGCCTGGCAGCCCCATTTGTTTCACTCAGGTGTTTCAGCTGCCTTGCTGACCTCTATTAGTTTAAGTTTTAATTTAGATTAACCCCAGCACCCCAATTAACCAGCAAGGGGAAAAGCTAAGATGTGACTAGTCATAACTCTGAAATCAAAATTTATCGAAGGTAAAATTATTAATTGGGATGAAGGGCCAATCAAGTAATGCTATTTCTTTTTAAACAGACCTCCAGGCAAAAAAAAAAGATAAAAAAAATAAAAAATCTTTCAGACTAAGGATTGCCAGTGGAAGCAACTTCTCCTCAGTAATTTCAGTTTAATTTTATAAAGCCTATTTAATTTATGATGCACTTTCCATCGAACAATGTACACTTCAATTAATGAAGACTGGAGCATTTCTGATTGTCTCCCATGATCTCACACAATTACACAGCATTAATATCCCATATCAGGTACTTCCTTAGACACCCTAGAACAAAATAGAGTTCCCTACTCTTCTGACAAATGGATGTAACAGAGAAGAAATGGAAAAAAGAATCAGGACCTCTGACTAGGAACACCTGAGGACACACCAATCCTCCTTCCTATACCCTCTCATCATTACTTTTAAGGCTCACTTACAGCAATAATTTCATTGAACATTCCAGAGTGAATAGAAAGATTATTTCTCTTCTTAGGGCAAAGACTCAAAGCTATCCCCTGTACACAATCACCTGTTCTATTGGCCTCACAGTGTAATTTTCCCATATTCTTTCCTTCATATACCAAATACATAATACAGTCACCATGGCTAAACCTTCAACAAGCAGTTGCAAATTCTTTGGCGAAAGTCAACACACTAAAAATTCAGCTGAGAAAAAAATAATATCTTGATAAATAATGGCTCAACAAAAGCTGGTGTGTCACTGCTGAATAGCATCCTTGATTCTCCAAAGCTAGAAAGGGTATATCCCAAAGCACACTTCATTAAGTATGGCTTATCAGGAGACCCAGGATTACAGGAAATTATTTTAGTTCTTTAGAACAGCACAAATGTTTAGTCTACCTTTACAGTCACTAGCATCATTAAAAAGAGCAGCATGCGGGCACCTGGGTGGCTCAGTGGGTTAAGCCTCTGCCTTGGGCTCAGGTCATGATCTCAGGGTCCTGGGATCGAGCCCCACATCGGTCTCGCTGCTCAGCGGCGAGCCTGCTTCCCTCTCTCTCTCTCTCTGTCTACTTGTGATCTTTGTCAAGTAAATAAATAAAATCTTAAAACAAATAAACAAACAAAAAAAAAGAGCAGCATGCCAGCAGAGAATAATGTCAGGGAAAGACCTGGGGGACATTTGGAAAGAGATATCAAAACTGGGCCATATTTCAACCTCTACCAATTCTGTCTGTCTTCAAAACATTACATTATGGTTATAATCAATAGTAGCAGACAATCTCAATACATACTTAACTGATGTGAACAGACACGCACGCATGCATGCACGAGCGCGAACACACACACACACACACACACACACACATACACACACACACACCAAAGGCAAAACACTTAATAAGCAATAGAACCAGAAATGCAGTTCAAGGACTCTGGGAGCCCAACCCTTTAGCTCCATATCCCAATCTAATAGCAACAGGACAAGAAACCAAACAACTAACAAAATATCCTCTATAAATATTAGCAAAAATGGTTGAGAAAAAATAAACCTCCGGACTCAAGAAAGTTGCAGCTTTTTTACAGATACTTCACACTCTGCAGTGACTAACAAAGTAGTTGCAGTTGTTTTCATTTCAAAAGGAAAAATACAACATAGGAGCACAACAGGGGCAACTGGCTGGCTCAGCTGGTAGAGCATAAGACTCTAGGTTGTGAATTCCAGTCCCACACAGGGTGTAGAGATTACTTTAAAAAAATAAACTCTTAAAAAAGAGAAGCCAAAACAGACTCAGAATTACACAGTAAGTCAATCTTAAAGATAGCAGTTCTAACTCTCCGACTCTATCCTCCTTCCAAAGTAAGCCACCTTTTGGTCAGAGAATTCTATGAGCTGTTTTGAAATGCTAAAACCTGATCTGTAATAAAAGAAAACTGTAAAAATCATACCTGGTGGTAAAAGTCATCGTCATCAAAGATTTCACCATCCAAGTCCTTCAGGTGGGCATTGGCAGGGGCTTGAGGAAGGACCTCCTAGAAGGAGTGAATCCAAAGGGTAATCAAAGTAATTTAGCCACCACAAATAATGTGTATAACAGTGTATAACAGGAAAGCAGCTTTCCTTAAGATATAAAGAGCTCTTACAACTAAAGAACAAAAATATTCCAATAAAAAAAATGGACGAAGACATTAATTATGCACTCAACATGAAAATAACAAAAAATTGTCAATAATCACATAAAAATATGTTTAACCTCATTCTAATTAAATCCATGAAAATTAAAATGAGAAGACTCCATTTTTCAGCTCTAAACCTGGCAACACTCGGTACCAGAAAACAGAACTGGTGGAAATGGAAATTAATGCAACCTTTCTGGAGGCACTCAGTAACATCTATCAGGATTTAATATGTGTATTCTCTTTGATTTGACATTTCCACTTTGAGAAATCTATCCATATGTTCACACAAATACACGTATTATAAATGCTCATGAATGTTTCCTATAGCACTGTTTCTAAGCTGGAGACAACATAAACAGCCACTGTTCCAATAAATTATAGTACACGCCTACAATGGAATACCCCATAGCCTAGTGCTGGGAAAAATGAGATAAAAAATCCCTATGTAGTGATTTAGAAAAGTGCCCAGGAAAAATTAAATTTAAAAAATAGTAAGATTTTATATAGTGTATTAATACTTTATATAAACACATAAATCATCCCAGTTAGAAAAAAAACAGAACCATGTTTCTATATATGCATATGTGTTATATCTATATATAGTTATATGAATAGAAAATGTCTTGTTACAGTTACAAATGAACACTGGTGTAATCGGAGAAGCAGAATTTTACTTTTCATTTTAAATTCTTCTGAACTTTGAAAAAAATTATTAAGTATATACTTCTATAAATAAGTTTCTTTAAACAAAAGAATGTGCTCCAGATATGGATCCTTTTCTATAGTATCTAAACGTCTGACATAAAATGCACACTTCCTTCCATACTGATATTGCTAGAGAAGCAGCTCTAAAATTGAATTTTTAAAAATTCGATTACGAATGGTTCCATTACCAGGCTCATGTCAAACTCAAAAATAAGAGAAGACTACACACAAGTTAATAATAGCTCCATTTTTTTTTTTTTTTTTTTTAAAGATTTTATTTATTTATTTGACAGAGAGATCACAAGTAGGGAGAGAGGCAGGCAGAGAGAGAGGAGGAAGCAGGCTCCCTGCCGAGCAGAGAACCCGATGCGGGGCTCGATCCCAGGACTCTGAGATCATGACCTGAGCCGAAGGCAGCGGCTTAACCCACTGAGCCACCCAGGCACCCCTAATAGCTCCATTTTAAAAGAACTTTCTCCTTCCACAAACTCTCAGTTTCTAGTCAATTTACAATCTAGTAAAGTTAGTGCTTTTTTTCCTTTCATGAACTTCTTATACCAAGGGTAATACAGGTGATCAGATTTTTCAGCTAATTAGCCTCACAGAAACTGCTCCCTGTAATCACCCAGCATCCCAGAGCTCTTACTGGTTGTCCTGGCAAACTCTCCGGGAGAAGCTGCGTTGCCGGTTCAGATTTGCCAAGAACTCGGTAGATGGAGCGCTTGGTCTGTGTCCTTCGAAGTAATCTTTCTTTGTCCATCAGAATATGATCGATCTGAGTCAAGATTGAGCGTTCAAAGGCACCAAAACCCTGCAACAACATTAACCAGTGTCAGATAATGCAGAAAGTCTGTGCTGAAGGCAGCTACATTGGTTTCTCTATCTTTCTGTGTCAGCAAAGAAATAGACAATCCTCCTTTCAGAGGGACTTTGTGTTACAGACTGACTTTGGGAATGGCTGTAATTGTTCTCAGGGAAAAAAAAAATTTAGTCTAAGGAGTTCCTATACCCAGAGATTAACTTTCACAGCTTCCATAACTGTTGAAAAATCCACTTCTTTCAGTATTTTGTATTCCCAAACATCTCAACACTTACAAGGTCATTTTCTAGAACAAAATATTCTTTAAAAAAAAAAAAAAAAAAAAAGACTTTATTTATTTATTTGAGAGAGAGAGCACTCAAGCAGGGGGAGGGGGCAGAGGGAGAGAGAGAATCCCAAACAGACTCAATGCTGAGTACAGAGTCTGACACGGGGCTAGATCTCACTACCCTGATATCATGACCTGAGCTGAAATCAAGAGTTGGAGGCTTAACCAACGGAATCACCCAGGTGTCACCAAAATATTCCTTCTAATAAAATTAAAATCCCAGGACTGAATGGCAGGAGTTCAGTAAATTTTTCTGTAGAAATGATTGATTACTATTACATCATGACATTATCTGTATCAATGAGCTGTAGTTCCAATGTCTTTAACTGCTTCAGGTTGACACAAACTCTGTTACACACATGTACACACACACACACAAACACCACATACTTGCCTTCCCCAGTTTTCCAGAAGCCAGCTTGGTTTTATCATGCCACTTCTGAAGTGTGCGGTTCCTGTAGACTGTAAAGTCAGCAAAACGCTTTGCCATAAAGCTGGGATAGTCCTCCATTTCCAGCTTCCTCTTTGGTGGGGCCCTTCTCTGCTTCTTCTTCTCTTCTAATAGATCTTCATCTTCACTGGAAATCTCCTCCTCACTGTAAAATCAATAAGAACATTAAGTTCAATGTACACAAACACCACCCAAGTAAAAAGCTAGGCTCACATGAAGTTGAGAGTATTTAGGCCTTCCCTATTCTTTTTTTTTTTTTTTTTTAAGATTTTTGAAATTTATTTGACAGAGAGAGACATAGCAAGAGAGGAAACACAAGCTGGAGGAGTGAGACAGTGAGAAGCAGGCTCCCTGCTGAGCAAGGAGCCTGATGTGGGGCTTGATCTCAACACCCTGGGATCATGACCTGAGCCGAAGGCGGACGCCTAACAACTGAGACAACCCAAACGCCCCAGGCCTTCCCTATTCTGTCTACATTTTTAAAAAACACCACAGATGGGAGGAAGGGTGGCTTTTTGTTTGAAAAGAATGTTCATGAGCTCAATCAAAAACTCATGTAACTTTTCAAATAAATATAAAAATTACTGGCTTAGAAATATTTTTTTAAAAGGTAAGCAAACCGTAAAAATAAATGAGGTTGTAAAAACATTATTAGAAATGCATATGAACCAGGCCTATACTGTTACAAGATGGTCTTTAAAAATTAAACACATAATCATATTTTTATGACCTTAATCCCCAAATCAATAAAGGAAATGTGTCTCCCTGTAACCAATTGTTCAGGAAAGCAGAATAATATTAGTTGAATCAAAGGAAAAGAGCTGAATGTGAAGGAAACTCAAAGCAGTGGGCAAGAGAACCGGAACTACGCTGAAATAAAGGCAACTGCCCGGATCAAGTAATACAGCCTCTATCAGGCAAGCCACTTAGACTCACTGGACTACTGACCCCAACACATTATAGGTGCTCAATAAATGTGAACTTACTGTTGTCCCTCCAACTAAAAATGAATGGAGCAAAGGATAAGCCCAAAGGGAAAAAAGCAAGCAGGTACCATATACAGCAGGCTCAAACAACAGGTGGGTGGGGGGGTGCTGTGGAAATCCTTCGTCAAATGTGACAACTTCAGAAAAAGTAAACACGTTTATACATATTCCGTGCCTTTCTGAAAATTTTCCATCCTTCAAAATAACTGCTTCTTCCCTCACTGAAAAGGAGATGGCTGTGACCAGCAATTCCATGGTATTGGCACAAACTGCTGCATAAACATTAATTAAGAATTAAAATTGAAGGACGCCTGGGTGGCTCAGTCAGTTAAGCTGCTGCCTTTGGCTCAGGTCATGACCCCAGGGTCTGAGGATCCAGCCCCGCATTGACCCCCTTGCTCAGCAGGGTGCCTCTTCTCCCTCTGCCTGTGCTCTCTCTCTCTCCTCCCCCTACCAACAAATAAACACAATCTTAAAAAAAAAAATTAAAATTAAGGGACACCTGGGTGGCTTAGTCCGTTAAGTGCCTGCTTTCAGCTCAAGTCATGATCTCAGGGTCCTGGGTGGAGTCCCACATCTGGTTGCCTGCTCAGTGGGGAGCCTGCTTCTCCCTCTCCTTTTGCACACCCCCTACTCATACACACATTTGCTCGCTTGCTCTCAAACAAAATCTTTAAAAAAAAGAATTAAAGGGTGCCTGGGTGGCTCAGGTGTTGGGCACCCGCCTTCTGCTCAGGTCATGATCCCAGGATCCTGGGATCGAGCCTTGCGTCAGGCTCCCAGCTTGGCGGGAGGCCTGCATCTCCCTCTCCCACTCCCCCTGCTTGTGTTCCTTCTCTCACTGTGTCTCTCTCTGTCAAATAAATAAATAAAATCATCATTTTTTTAAAAAGAATTAAAATTAAAAATGAGCTTTCATCTCCTAATTTCTTTTTTCTTTTAAAGACTTATTTATTTATTTGAGATGGGGAAGGGCAGAGGGAGGGGAAGATAGAGAGTCTCAAGCCAACTCCACGCTTAGTGCAAAGCCTGACACAGAACTTGATCTCACCACCCTGAGATCACAACATGAGCCAAAGCCAGGAGTTGGACACTCAACCAACTGTACCACCCAGGCACCCCTCATCTCCTAATTTCAATAGGTCTAAAGAAAAGGCAAGCCTTTTGCAGAAGCCCACAAAGAAAAGCAGGCACAAGTAAATATAAAAAAGGAAAACCTAATTCTTAATTTGTGTGCCATCCTGGCCACCAGGTAAATATAAGAAGGTCTTTCTGTTATTACTAACAATAAGTATGATACCTGCCTGCAGAAGATTTGGCTTTCTTTTTCAAAAATGATGGGAAACTACTCAGATTAAAATAAGCAACCCCACAGCTCCATTCCTTCCTTACCTTTCTGCTTTGGGCTTTGTCCCGTCTACTAAATATCTAGTGTCTGGGTACTGGAAAAGTAACTCTTCCTGAAGATCTGCCAATGATCTCAACAATGCTTTAAGGGCCTTGTGACCTGGGAAATGAAGCACAGAGAAGGAACAATAAATTATCTACAATTCTTCAAAGCAGGCAACGACTGTAACTCATGACTCCTGGGCAGTTCTGGCCGGGGTGGGGGGTAGGCAAAGGGCACCCGAGGCCTAAGAACTCTCTGAAACACAGAATTCCTGAAAGGAAATAATGCCAGTGCCCACGTCACAGGCTTGTTGTGAGGAACAAGTGAGGTAACATATGTAAAGGTGTGTAGGAAAGGGTCTGCAATAAATTGTGAGTTCTTAAATTTAGCAAGATTGACCAAGTTCTACCCTGCCTGTCATCATAACCAATCGTTTTTCCTTATGGTGTTAGCTTCTACAGGTAACCCACCGACCTCCTGGATTATCCCTCTATCAATCAACTCCTTAAGCAATCCCTCCTCTCCTGAAGTGCACAGCTCTGTCCTGGGATCCCTACTGTGTCGTCACTGCTGCCGTCGTCGCCCTTCCTCAGGAGATCTCATTTGCCTCTGGTTTGAGCTGCCACCTCATACATACAATTTCTCTACACATTCTCCTATGAAAAAAGTTGTTGTTCACGTATGAAAACCCCCAAGTTAACGACTTACTGTTTGTGGTACTGAATTGTGTATTAAAACTCTGCGCATTGAGAATATGTTCTTACCTGGTTCTCTACAGAGCCAACAGGATGCATTTGTAATCAAGCTGGTCAGGATTAAGTATAGTCTACTACGGCTAAGAACTTTCAGGATAAAAACTGGCCCTCTGAGAACTGAACTCTTACCTTCTTTATCAGCCTAATCCTGCTAAAGGGGCTAACTAGACACCGATAATCACTATTTATGCGTTGGTAGCACTCAGACGCCTCTCCTATTATCGAGCTTCCACATTTCCAGCAACTGCAAGAAAATCTTCACATGGATGCTCCATCACTCCTCCAAATACACCATGTCAGAAACAGAACTTTGTTCTTCCTACCTAATATTTCTCCCTTGTCTGATTTTCTCCGTTTAATGTGTTTTCATAGGCGATCACTGACATTTTGGTGCCCTTACTCTATATATTTAATCCATTGCTAAATCGGGTGATTTTCCATTCTTATTATCAGTAATGGCTGTCCATTCATCTCTGGCCATGCTTCTCTCACACCTTCCCCCTTTCCCTTAAATAACTGTAACCTTCTCACAAACGCCCCTACTTTCATTTAGCAAACCCTACATTCATTTTTATTTTATATTCCATAGGGACTTCAGCCCACACAAACTTCAGTTAGCGTTAACCACGGTTTTTAGTGCCTTCTCTAGAAAAGGCTGTATCTTAAGAGAGAGAGCCCATGTTTTCCAAAGTGAAACCACAAACCAATTTTGCATTTGCAAAGTAGTTTTCAAAATTCCCAAGACCTAACCTTGAAAATCTTATGCTAAGTAAGCGAGTCACAAAAGCACAAGTACCGTGTGATTCCACTTACATGAGGGACCTAGAACAGGCACATTCACAGAAGCAGAAAGCAGAACGATGGCAGGCAGGGGTGGATAGGAGAGGGGAATGGACACCTGTTCCTGTTCAATGGATACAGAGCTTAGGAATGAGATGATGAAAATGTCCTGGAGATGGACAGTGGGGATACTGGGACAGCCATGCAAATGTACTTAACAATATTGAACTATATTTCTGTAAGTGGCTAAGCTGGTCAATTTTATGTCATGTATATTTTAACACAATTGAAAAAAAAAAAAACAACACAGTTTAAGTGTTCCCAAAGCAGGCCATAATGAATAATTCTACCATCCCAGTTCATCTCTGTACAGAAAAAAATCATCTATAATGCTTCAATCTTGAGCCTAGTCAAAAAGAACAGAAAAAAAAAAAGGAATGTTATTCACCCTTTAAAAAGAAATTCTGACACAGGCTATAACACATGGATGAACCTTGGAGACATTATGCTCAGTGCAATAAGCTAGCCATAAAAAGACAGGTACTGTATCATTCCACTTATAGGAGGTACCTCGAGTAGTCAAATTCAGAGACAGAAAGTAGGATGGGGGTTACCAGGGCTTGGCAGAGAGGGGAATGGAGGCTTGTTTAACAGGTATAGAGTTCTACTCTTCTAAGACAGAATAGTTCTGGAGATTGGTAACACAACAGTGTGAATATACTTAACACTACTGAACTATACACTTAGAAATAGTTAGGGTAAATTTTTGAATCCCTATTATACATCTGAAACTAATGTAACACTGTATGTTAACTACATAGGATGAAAATTCAAAATAAATTTGAAAATTGAAAAAACGGTTAGGATAAATTTTATGTTAGGTCAATTTTAGGTTTCATGGTTTTTTTTGCTGCAATAAAAAATTTAAAAGAAGAAAAGCAGATACCTGTCCCTTACTTCCGGTAGATTCCATGTATCCATGATGTAAACCAGGAAATCAGGAACCATGTGCGGGGGGGGGGGGCAGTTTGCAAAGCAGTCTATAATGTTCATAGCTGCTTATCCCCAGCAAGCAAGTCATAATGTGACTCTCACATGTGGCAGAACCAAGAACTGTGAAAACATACAACGAAAAGACTACTACTTTTAAGGGCCACTTTCAAGTAGCTATACAAGCCTTTTTATTTTGTTCAAGTCAGTTTAAAAAAATCCATTGCAGATATATTAGACAGCATATCAATCCAACAAGAAAGCAGAGAGCCAATATCAGTAAATCAAAGTGTGCCTTTCTGTTAATACTCTCTCATATGTTCTCATTTTATACACCCCTTCACCCAGTCAGAAAGTAGCCCTGAAGTATTTAAGCTCCATTCAGGGATAGCACCACCATGCATCAAAGTGTCAAGAGACCTACCAGAGATGAAATCTGCAATTCTGTGCTTCTAACCACAAAAAGAAAAAAAGAAAAAAGAAAAAAAAAAAAAGGAAAGAAAAAGAAAAAGAAAAAAAATGTTTATCAAAGTAAAGTCACCAATGACCAACACACAGACAGCTTCCTATAAAGAAATACAGAAGAAAGAAAGCAATTCTCATTTCTTTGAGAAAAGGGCCACATTTCCTTCCACTAAGATTTTATGTAAAATCTGCAGAGACCAGACAATGCTTTCCTGGATACAGCAGGCCTCCTCAAAGCCACATCTGACAAGAGTGAGGAAAGACTCTCCTGGAGACTCAGATCCAACAGCGGATTCTTCCCAGCCAAAATACAAAACCAAACCCAACCCAACTTCTTTTTATCATTCATATAGGACTGAATTCTAGTTGTTTAACCCTATGAAAAATGAAGAGAATGGAACCAACAGTTTCTAATTCACCGTTCATTTTTCTCCTAATTACTGTCAGTTACAAGTTGAAAAAACAGCAGAGAGGCATACACTTTCTTCTCTCTCCCTCTTGGCACGTGGCCACAAAACAAATGGAGACTGTCAAGGATATATATGTTTATTTTGTCCTACATGGTCCATTTCCAGAGGCCTTTCCCTTAAGAGGAGATTAAGAAGGACATATGCCTCACCATATTATCAAGATACAACCTCAGCATCTGGGCACTGGCTTTAGGAATAATTTTCCAAGTAGAGAATCAATGGGAAGAGTGCTTTACTAGAGGTCAGGAGCCCTGTATTCTAACTGACACTATTACTAACTAGTCATTTTACTGAGCAGACCAATTTAATCTTTGAGTTGCAATTTTCTCCTCTGTAAAATGTAGATAATCCTTTGCTTATCTCACAGAATTTAGGTGAAAAATAATAAACATGTTTTTTATATATCAAGGAACTTCATTAATTTTTAAATGCTGTGGGATATAGAAAGTACATCACAATCAAAAAAATCATCATCTTTCACATGGTGAAAATCCCAGGCTCTGCTTGTACTGATCGACAGTGCTAGGACTGAACTAGTATTCATAGATTCCTGTATTAAGTATTCATTTACATGCTACCCATATGCAAGCATTCTATATATAAAATGTCACCAATCTAAAAACAATTTTCACCTAACAGCTTTATTTTTCTCCCTGATTCATCTTGGTTGTTCAACATAAACAAAATTGTAGGCAGAGAATAAGTTTGGACATAGGCACAGTTCATTAATTAGATTATAAACCAATAAGTATAACTTCTGGCAAGGGGATTGGAGGGGGAACGCAGACAGTGAATTTATAACTAAAATAAAGCTTACCTTATCAGTTTTTAAATATCTATACAGTTATTTTTAAAATAAACATGAAAACATACAATAGTTTATGTACAAGTATACATAAATTCCCACATTCCTATCATGCCAGATAAATACAATGAAGTAGAATGTATAGATTACAAGAGCAGTTTTTTCTCCTTCAAAAGTAACTCTAGAACCAGAGCTAAACTCTAGGTCAAAATGACACACAACATATCGGCCTGAGAACAATACTTTTCATTCAAATCTACACAAGCTTGCCACTTGCACTAGTCATCCCCGGCAATTAATCCCCCAAGAAAGACATTTGATTAAATCTTTTCAAGCAAATCCTTTGCTTTGCTTTTGTTAGTTCACTTCTTGTCAACATCTATTAAAATATGCCTTTAATTCTCCCACAATCTTAAAAAACACCGATTCCACTGTCTTCAACTTTAATCAACTGTATGGCCGGCATTTTTCATTTCATAATAATGTGCTGCTTGGAATTCAAGAGGCAGGCTCAGCATCAATCATCTGGTAAGAATTTTTCCACTGCAATAAATATGCAAATGAGGAGAGCCAGTCAGTCGTATTTCAGGCCCGACTTGCTAGTGTTTTAAAAAAGACACAAATTTATTAATTGCCGGTGGCCAGAGGAATCCTATTACTTTGGGCATTGATTACAAAGCTGTGTGAGTGATTATTGTGCAACTCGCGGGCTACCCAGGCATGAGGAAAAATTATTAAAGCAAGGCAGAGATTATCAACTCAGAATAACAATAAGCCTTAACATTTAGGCCCTAACTTCTTCAACAAAGAATTACGTGAAGGCTCCACTGTATCATAATTCCGAATTCTGTC